GTTCATGGTTTATGAGCCCCCCCCCCTCCAAAGTTTAGGTTTTAGGGTTTAGGGTTTAGGGTTTAGGGTTTAGGGTTTAGGGTTTAGGGTTTAGGGTTTAGGGGTTTAGGGTTTAGGGCATAACTGGGTCTAGACGTCTAACTTTCAGGATTCCGACCTGCGTTTGAAACGAGCCTAAACCCTAAACCCTAAACGCTAAACCCTAAACTTTAAACCCTAAACCCTACACCCTAAATCCCGGTGCCAGAATCTGCGTTTTGCTTGCAATCCGTGCCGAAGCAGGCTGCAGGGACGTCATTCATGGAATCTTTGTTGTACAATGACGACTTCGATGAGGATTTAGGGTTTAGGGTTTAGGGGTCGCATATGAACACATGTCCTTCCCACAGGCATGCACCAACACATGCAAACATAAATGCATGCATGCATAAATACGAACATGCCCACATGCCTAGAAATTTCTCCCGGCTCTCTCTCATCTCTCGTCTCTCTCTCTCTCTCTCCCTCCCTCTTTTCCTCCCTGTCTCGCTCTCTGTTTCTCTCTTTGTCTCTCTCTCTCTCTCTCCTGCTCTTCCTACACACACACACAGAGACACACATAGTACGCAAGTGTAAGCCCCGGTCGCAGCTTCGAAGCTGCCTGGCCAGGCGTTGCCGAGGCATCACAGCCCGGCCGAGGCAAGGGTGATCGGAGGGCTGGCTTAGGGTTTAGGGTTTAGGGTTTAGGTTTAGGGCTTAGGGGTTAGTGAGGCTTATGGGTTCACGGGTTTGGGGGTTTAGGGGTTTAGGGGCTTAGGGGTTTACGGTTTTGGTGGTTTACGGTTTTAGGGTTTAGGGGTTTCGCGGTTTAGGGTGTAGGGGCTAGAGCGGCTAGAGTTTAGGGCCGTAAGCTTCGGGATAAGGCGATAGTGTTCCCTGATAGGCTGATCTGGGTCTCGGTGTGGCTAGATCTAGGTAGTTCTTTTTGGTATTTTGTTTCAAGGTAGGGAGGGCACACCGGAGCCCTATTCTGAGACATCTCGGCAGCTTTGTTTTGTTTCAGGGGTTTAGGGTATCGGGAACTTGGAGGATCATGGGACTTAGTAAGTATGGTTATCAGTGCCTTAAGTGGGGTTATAAGTAGTTATAAGTATAGTTACCCTAATAATAAGCTTATTATAGTCACTAAGTCCCATGATCCTTTAAGTAGGGGTTGGGTGCAGGAAGGAGGGCAAAGAAGACCTGACACCGAGATTGAAGCCGGTCAAGGCTGTGGGGGCCCCTGAAGCAGCCGTCCGTGATCTTTTCGGGTTTAGGGTTTAGGAACCCGAAATTACCTTCAAGACTTTGTGCTTTATGGGGGGCTAAGCGCAAACCTTAAGCCATCAAATCCTTAAACCCCAAGACCTTAGACTCTAAGGACTTTAGGAGGGACCCCTAATAGGGACCCTTAATCCCATTACCCTAAATAACCATTGTATAGTCCTTATGTTCCCCTTATATAGCCAGGTGGTCTCCATATTAACCCCAACAACCTACAAGGGCCCCTATTAAGAGTCCCGCCTAAATCCCTTAAGCCCTAAACCCTAAACCCTAAACCCATAAGTTAAGAGCCCGGGCCTCGCTACGAAATCCATAGCAATGGAGGGTCCCTCCTAAAGCTCTCAGATAGACGCCTCCTTGGCCCAGGGACAAGGCCACGACCTCAACGCAAACAGCCCATCCTCGTGGACCATCAGCCGCTCCCGCCGAGGGCCCCAGGAAATCTTCAGTTGAAGCCTCTTTTTAAGGTTTAGGATTCAGGGTTTAGCGTTCAGGGTTTAGGGTTCAGGGCTAGGGTTTAGGTTCTAGGAAGAATACCCATTCCTAGAGCTCCCCTTGAGTCCCTTAGTAGCCGGAGTAGAATGAAACCCTCATGCCCTTCCCTTCGTGTCCACGGTTTAGGGTTTAGGTTGTAGGGTTTAGGGTTTAGGGTTCTAGTGAGGTACATTTGATGGAGCTGCGGAGTCCTAGATCCGAACCTCATCTCCACCCTAAACCCTAAACCCTAAACCCTAAACCCTAAACCCTAAACCCTAAACCCGGGACCCTGAAACCCCTAGGTTTGCGTCAGCTGTCTGTGTGCCGAGGCCAGAATCGGATGATATCCCTTCGCCTTAGGCTCGTTGGGTTGTGCTTGCACGCATTGGTGAAGATGGGTCAAGTGGTTTAGGGTTTCGGGCCTTTAGGGTCTAGTGGTTTAGGGTTTAGGGTTGGGGGTTTGGGGTTGCTGAGGGTAGCTCTTGATCTGGAACGTACGGCTGAGATATGGAGACCAGGCATTGTGTAATCTCGGTCTCCTCGCCGTGGAAAGTTAGGGTCCGCTCCTTCTGGCACAGAGGGAGTTGCGGGTAGCACCTTGTCTTCGCTAGGATCAGATGTCCCTACCCTAAACCCCAAACCCTAAACCCCTTTCTGTGCGAGAGCTTTTGGGTTGGCAGCTTCCTTCTTGCGACCTGCTGGCTCAAGAGCTAGACAGGCATTGCACATGTCACCTTGCCCTTTCCTCCACAGCCCTTGATCCCATAATGTAGGAGCCTAAATAATTACCAATACTATCTTAGGGGGTGCCTTTAATATATTGATACGATAATTGGCCCCAAAACCCTGTTCTAATTATTAAGGCCCCTATACTACCTTGGACAGACGAAGTAGCTTGCAGTGGCTTGCACGGCAAGGTTTTGCAGATGAAATTTGGTTGTCTCTAAAACCAACAGGTCCGGTTTTCTAACCTTCAAGTGCCTGAGCAAAAAATCTATATCTACATCTGTATCTATGTCTATACATATGCGATGCCTAGCCTTCCGGACATATCCTGCAGATATTGGCTGGAAGAATATCATCAGGCTTCGTGGCGCTGGTGCACAGCATGAAAAACCTTGGAGTTTCAGACCCCCCAAAGAGCCAGGTAGTGGCCGGGTTAAAGGGTTTAGGGTTCCCAACGAGCACACACGGACACACACGCACACAGCACTGCTTTCACTGGCCTTTCCGGCGCGAAGTGCAATGGCGGAGGAGGCCTTTGCCATTGATGCAGCATGTGATGGCTCTTGGAAGTTCTAAAGGGTGCCCCAACAAAGCACATAAGCAGAGCTCAGGATAAGAATATCTCAGTGCACCTTTTTTTACCGAAGCCAGGTAAGGTAGACCCCACAATTTCTGAGTGCCAAGCCCCGGTCCTGTGGCGTCTTGATCTGACTCAGAGTTTGGATTCGGGGTTTTGGGCTTCTACAGGGTTTAGGATTTCTTAAAGCCTTCAAGTCAAACAAACCCGAAACCCCAAACCCTAATCCCTAAACCCTAACAAGTCCAGGGCACCGAGATTTCCTAAAACCCTCATGCGGTGCCTTGGATCCTACATTCTACGGCCCCGAGCCTTCACCAAAACCCTCCGAGGGCCTCTAAACCCTAAACCCTAAACCCTAAACCCTAAACCCTAAACCCTATAGTCACTACACTTTAAAAAAAAACCCTAAACCCTAAACCCTTAACCCTTAACCCTTAGCCCTACACCCTAAACCCTTAACCCTAAACCCTAACCCCTAAACCCTCCAAGAGCCTCGCCACGACTTGGCAGGAACCTTCCCTGGCTCAGACCGAGGAAGAGCAGCTCACAAGCACTTGGGGGCTTGGGAATTTATCGGGTTTAGGGTTTAAGGTGTAGGGTTTAAGGTTTAGGGTTTAGGGTTTAGGGAAAGTTGAGGGTTTAGGGTTTAGGAAACTCCAGAAAGTTGGCAAATGGATTAAGGACACTTAGCGCTGGGATTCCCTATGCAGTACTCTTGAGGATTGAGGCTATTGAGTTTCCAACTTTTGTGCTTCTACTGTAAGGGGCTCGAGAGTGGTGGGGTTAGGACCTTGAAATAGTGCAGCAGCTAAGGGTTCAAGGCTTAGGGTCTTAGAGTCACAAAGATCTCGGATCAAGGAGTGCCGTGGGCTCTTGACCTTAGAGTTTAGAGTTTAGAAGTCACGCAGTTCGGGGCTTTGGTTAGGTGCATTTCTTCTCCCTTGGCCTTCCTTATCGTGGCAAAGGTCAGTTCCAAAGCTGTGCACTAAGCCCCAATGCCCTCAAGCCCAGCCGAAACCCCTAAACCCTAAACCCTAAACCCCGAAACCCTAAACCCTAGAAACCAAAAGCTCCAACTCCCTGCTTCGTCTTCATCGATCCCAAGCACGAAAGCCCCCCGACCGTTGGGGTTTAGGATGTAGAGTTTCGGGTTTGGGATTTAGGGTTGTTTAGGCCTCCAAGCTTCAAAACACTGAGGTTGGAGGCGAGACACGAGAAGGCATCGGGGGAAGAAGGTTTAGACTTTAGGGTTTCGGGTTTATGGTTTTGAGGGAGGGGAGTGCTTTGCTTGGCTTCGCCTGGTCTTGGGAGCTTGCTTCTGTGTCTTACCGAGTCATCGCCCATGGTGTTCCCTTCAGAATCTGTCAAGGCGCCCTAAACCCTAAACCCTAAACCCTAAACCCTAAACCCTAAACCCTAAACCCTAAACCCCAAAACAACCCGTGTGTGCTCAGGCCGCGGGGCCACCGGTGGTGTTTCGTTGTTTATGTTTTCTCTGGGTCCGCGGAGGGTATCGGTATAGGGCTGAGGGTTTACAGCTCAAGCGCTGCGATGCACATGCGATGAACCCAGGTTGATACTCCACACCCCCTAACTTGCATGCTACAAGGCCCCCAGAAAAGAAACCCTTTAAACAGAACCTTGTTTCAAACTCTATCTAATATAGAAGCCTAAATAGCTACGAATATTACTGTTAGGGTTCCTTCTTATAAAGTACACTATATGGGAGCCCAAAACTCTATTCTACCAATTATTCACGCCCCTACATTAGCCTCCCAGTGAAGTTCGCCAGGAGCTAGCGGACTTGGAAGAGCGTGCCGCGGCGCACGTGGAGAAGGTGAAGGAGACTGCTCCTCTGGCTGAAGGATGACAATGGGGGCACACTTTAGGGCTTTAATGTAGGGGCCTTAAACTTTAGAAAAAGGTTTAGGGTTCAGGGTTTAGCTTAGCGTTCTTCTGGTTGGCTCTTTAGACTTTAACTTTTGCGGTTTCTATATGAACTTGAACATCTAGGCTAAAAGTTTAACTTCTAGGAGGGGTTCAGAAGTAAGCCAAGTGGGGGAACACTTTAGGGCTTTAATGTAGGGGCCTTAAATTTTAGAATAAGGTTTTGGGGCCCATTATACTATAATTATACTAAGGAGCACCCAAAATAGTATTGGTATTTATTTTGGCCCCTGCATTAGCGTGGTTGAAAAGGGCATCATGGTGTGTCAGTTGGGGGTTATATGGCTTTGCAGGGCCTTCATACGGGAGCTGTTTGGGTTTTACAGCGTTTACAGGGTTACATTGGAGCTTCAGGCTTTGCTGGTTTAAGCATTTCCGGTTTTGGGGTTTTAGTGTATGGGTTGCAGGCTTTTCTCATGTTGATTTCGGTGTCAGGTACCCTAAACCCTAAACCCTAAACCGTATTGCTAGGGCTTATGGATCAGTGCTTTGGGTGCTATGCCCTAAAACTCTAAACCCGAAGCTCCAAGCTTTAAGCGCTGAGTCCGCGACCCCAAAGATTTTCGCGCCGGAGCCCCTAACCCCCCCCCCATCACAGCGACACCTGCTAAGTAGAATAGGCAACCTGAATGTTAAAGTTTGAGTCCTAGGTTACTGGACAGGTAATCCGGGTTCCTCAGTACTGACACACTATGAAGGATCCCAAAAGGCTATGCTAATCATTAAGGCTCCGACATTACGCCTCCTAAACCCCTAAACGCTAAGCTCATCACTTAAACAAAGACCTAACCCCTAAACCCTAAGCCCTTAAACCCTAAAGCCTTAAAATCCTAAACCTAAACCCGGACAAGCCTGAATTATAATTGTTACCAATTCTCATCAGGCCCCTACATTACGCTTTATAAACCCATAAATCCCTAAACCCCCACACCCCCTAAACCCCAGAACAGCCTCAGACCCTACCCGAAACCCTAAACCCTAAACCCTAAACCCTAAACCCTTAACCCTTAACCCTTAACCCTAAACCCTAATTCCTGAACCCTAAACCCTAAGCCCTAAGCCCTAAACCCTAAACTTAGGATCCTTCGGGAAAAGCAGCCTCAGACCCCAAGCCGGGACACCTAAACCCCTGAGGCTGGGAAGGGCAAAAAGGCGAAGCAGGCCATCGAGACGGCCGAGCGGGAGGCGTTCCGGGCCGAAGTTCGTCCTCTGATCCTTCTAGGGCTTCTTGTGTTTGTTTTTGTTGCTGGGGTTTAGGGTTTTTGTTTTTTCTTGGCTTGGGTTTAGGGTTTAGGGTTTTGTGTTTTTTTTTGTTGGCTCGGTTTTCGGTTTTTGGGTTCATGGGCTTCTGGTTTGGGGCTTAATTTCTTTTCAATTTCGCTGTTGTTGGCGTTGTTGTGCTACGCGCCAACCCCCGCCCCCGGGGCCGCTCTTCCGACGACGGCGACGACGAGTGTGTTGATGACGATGGTGATGAAGCGTGGAGCTGAACGATGGTGCTGATGGGACCAATGATGACGAGGACGATGCCAGTGGTGCTGTTGACGATGATCGTGACGGTGATCGTGATGACGGTGATAATGATGATAAGGAAGGGGATTATGATGATAACGAAGAAGTGAATGCCAATGACTCGTTTCTGGATAAATGCTGCTGCTGCTGCTGGTGTTGTTGTTGTTGCTGCTGCTTCTGCTGCTGCTGCTGCTGTTGCTGTTTATGATGATGATGTTGTTGATGCTGATGATAAGACCTAAACCTTGCACCCCAAACCCTGCACCTTAAGCCGAGGTGGATCAATGGCTCTACGATCTCCGGGAGCGCCAGAAGGAGGAGGTGGAGGAGCTGGCGGAGAGACTTTCGGGCGGTCCGAAGGAGGCTCGGATGGGGTTCGGGGTTTTAGGGTTTCGGTTTGGAGGTTTGGGGTGTAGGGTTTAGGGTTTAGGGTTTAGGGTTTAGGGTTTAGGATAGTTCATGTTGAGTTACCATATGCAAGAAGGGTTTCGGTTTACAGGTTTGGGGCGTAGGGATGTTTAGGTGGAGGCCTTAGGGTTCAGGGGACAAGAACTCTTGACCTTAAGCCCTAAAGCAGCTGGGGGTTTTCAGCAACCTACAGGGTACCGAAGCTAGCTTCTGTAGGGCTGGTATCATCACCATCCTACCCTTACCAGATCTTTTCTGAAACGCACGAAGTCTTCCACATTCTTAAGCCCTAAACCCTAAACCCTAAACCCTAATTGGAGCCCAGAAGCGCCAGAATTTTAGTGTCTTCCGGGCCCGCCAACATCCGCCGCAAGCCCACAAGGCCTGACAATCCCCAGGCCAAGTCTAAAAAGGGGCCTTAATACTTACCTACATTATTTTGGGGTTCCTTGTTAAATTTTAGTATAGTATACCCTTAATACTTACCTACATTATTATTTTTTTTGGGGGGGGTCCTTATTATAATTCTAGTACACTCTACCCCAAAACCCTACTCTAACTATTCAGGCCCCTACATTGTAAGCATAAGCACAAGGCACTAAAGCCACAAACCTTCAGCTCTAAGCCCAACACCGGACCCATACACACCAGGCCCCAGACCCTATGAGCCTAAACCCGAAGCCCTGAACCCTAGACCCTAAATCCTCAACCCTCAACCCTAAACCCTAAACCCTACACCCTCAGCTCGAACTCCCCGCACAGGCGCCAAAACCCAACAGCTTCAGCCCGAAAGACCGCCTTGAAAGCTTCCTAGGGTTTAGGGTTTAGGGTTTAGGGTTTTGGGTCTAGGGTTTTGGGTTTAGGGTTTAGGGTTTAGGGTTTAGGGTTTAGGGTTCCATGAGGCCGCCGCAGCGAAGGAGGAGAAGGCTGCGTGCTGATTTTTTCCTTACAGCTGTGACCCGAAAAGGGTGTCGGGTTTAGGGGTTTCGGGTTTAGGGTTTCCGGGTGTCGGGTTCAGGGTTTAGGGTGTCGGGTTCAGGGTTTAGGGTTTAGGTTTTAGGGTTTAGGTTGCGGGTTTAGGTTTTAGTCTTGAGGATGTTGGGGGCTTTATGGGGTTTAGGGTTTAG